GCTAGAGGAGGACATTTAAAGAGGGACATATCATGAAAAAGTGCTTGAGCACATCATTTTGGGTATCTGGAGTGTCTACCAACCCACAAAAGAACCTGGAAATTTGACCCTAGCATTTAACCCATCCTCAGCATGAGGAACAGTTGGCTGCTCTAAAGCTCCCAGGGAGCAACTTGGGGCTCAGTGTCTCGCTCAAGGCCATTTTGACATGGCAGGAGAAGCCGGGGATCGAACCGCCAACCTTGGTGTCAAAGGACAACCCGCTTTGAGCCACAGCTGAACTGAAGTGAGGCAGCCTGGCCAGTTTTTTGACAGCTGCCTACGTCAGAAAACATTCAACATGACAGTCAGATCTGGCAGATCAAAGCAGCTTTTATCGGTAGGTTGTCTTAAAGAGACAGGCGCTAAAACGGAGCATTTCAGACAGAGGGTGAATACAGGTATATTCAGACTGACAGTATGAGAGACATAATGTGTTTATAGAACCGTAAAGCATGTAAACATGTTCTAACAGAAACCCAAAATACAAGTATGAACCTACAAATTAGCATGATATGTCCCCTTTAATTTCATTTAATATTACACTGCTGCATATTGCACTCAGTTTGACTCAATCAAAGTTCTAATTTTAAAAATGTCCCCCATTATTGCTCGTTTTGTCAGTCGTTTCTGCTTTCTGCAGAATGTAATCCATGCTGCCTTCTTGCTTAAAAAATTCAGTGACAGCTATAGAGGAGGGCAGAAGCGAGTTTGCTCAGATAGCCTCTTCCTGCAAAGAAAACTATCTGAAACGCTGCATTTTAACGCCTGTATCTTTAAGAACACCTACCCAAAAGAGGGTTAATACAGGTGTTGTTAGAAATAATGTGTTTTTTTTATGTTAAAGCATGTAAACATGTTCTAATAGAAACCCAAACTACCTGCGTTAACCTGAAAATTTGCATTATTTGTTCCCATTAATTTCATATTCCACAAAGAAATGTCATCCACACCAAGTTCAGTGACGACTATAGAGGAGGGTAGAAGTGAGTTTGCAACCGCTGCTTGTTTACAAGACAGGGTTTATGCTGAAAAAAAAACATGTACCAACATTATGACGAATGCAGAAAGCCTCTTAGAAACCCCCCCCCCCCCTCTCTTAAAGCATCCAACAAGCGTATATTAACATGAACACTTGAAATCCGCCTCCCTCTATTTAACCCTGTTTAACCTTCGATGCTAGTCGTTAGAATGAGACCTGGAAGAACTTGACGTCTCTATTAATCGCAATGAGACATATTTGAATTATTTACTGTCACCGCACTCTCGTTTTAAAGACTGTTTTAATTGGAGAAGTGGAGGTTACGCCTTGCCTCTGTTGGCACAAGTCTCCAGTGAGAAGTGCGATCAAGTGTGTGCGTGTGTGACGCGTGTTTTTTTTTTAGGGGAGAGGTTAGGCGACGTGCGTGGAATTCTGCGAGGGTCTTAATGAAAGCCGGAGTGCTTAGCGGACACGTGGGCTCCTCTGATGGAAATCAATGCAGCCTTTTGTTGGGCGGAGCGACAGCAGCCAATTCCGGGGGCCTGAGCTGCCTGACGCGGCGCTGGCAGACTTTGACGAGCATTTAATGACGTGTCACTGCACCGGACAGCTAATCGATTTATTTAGACAGTAATGTATGTAGGGGGGCAAAATAGGAAAGGGGATGATTGCGATGCGAGGGCCAATGAGTGTGAAAATCCTACGGCATCAAACGTCTCTTTGTTGAGTTGGATCTTCCCACAGCTGCAAGTCTCATAAGCATGTTAGAAACGTGTGTTTGACCTGCAAACAAACCAGAATCCATAAGATCCCAGCTCCACCAGTAGTCTTTTCTTGGACACAACGGATCCACTACCTCTCACACTCAGCCTCTCACGCCTTTTCACGGGTAATTGGCTTCATTTCTGGATCATTGCACCAGAGTGAAACAGAGCCCCCGAGCGCCATATACATCACGTACAGCGTGTCTGTCCCTCGTGTGTCGGTGTCTGATATCTTTTTTTTAATGGATTTTGCAGGAACCATCCACTTCAATCTCAGTCAAAACAAAAACAAAAAAAGATGTGAGACATTTTGAGTGATTTGAGAGTCGAAAAGAGACAGCCTGAGAGAGAGAGAGGGAGATGTACGTTTGCGCGTAGCCGTGTTTAAGTGACAGGTCGAGTCAAGCCTCATTGATGAATCCACTAAGCGTTTGAGGGATTTCGGAGTGTGGTTGGGACTGAATTAGACTGTTCACTGAGCTGAGTTAACTCTCTTCTGTGGTGATGAATTGCACTTGGACTGCTGGCTGTTAGTGCACAGGAGTGTATGTGTTTGTCATGCACATACTTGCGCGGCTGACGGGGATGCCAGAAATGCTGTTTTCCATGAGTACATTTTGAACAACATTATTCCGGCGAGGGTTCTTTATTGACAAACCAACTACTTTCCGTAATATATCGAAAGAACCGTTGAGTGAGGATACGTTGATCGTGTGAGGGTGAGCTAATGCAACATGCTAAAGACTCATTTTCACTGCTCGTATATTGAAAGTTTAATTTTTTCATTCCATAAATGGGGTTTGGAACTTAGATTGACTGGCAAATAATGAGCTTTATGTTGAGGCTCATTGCTGCCTTAGGCCTTCTTGACCTGTTAATATCGGGGACATAATTGCCAACACGAGGCCTCTCCTGTGATAGCCACTCAGCCAGCCAGCTTGTCCACCCAGCTGTCAGCCAGTCACAAAGCAATCCACCTCTCACAATGGCCAGTCAGCTCCTCCAGCAGCTTTCCACTTCATCTAAGAGCTTTGCAGCAGCTCCAGCTACCAGGCAGCGGCCTGCCAGCTCATGCAGTGTCTGGCCGGCCGGAGAGCCAGTGTCCCCGGTAGCGACAGCTGTTGACCCCAAACCAGGCTCTCTGTAAGGGGGCAGAGTTGACTCCGCTCGTCTGGCCATCAATGGGGAAATGAAGGGTCTCGACAGCATGTGGTGATGTCCACTGTTTTGGAAGAGCAAAACGTTCATCCAGGCCTAGGACTGTGTTGCCTGATTTCAAAGAACTCTGTCCTTCGAACAAGTGCAGACAAATTAAAATCACCTCATTTGAAGCTGGGGAAGGGGCTACTCGGTACTACTGCACATAACTCTTTTAGAACATTTCGTAATTTCTTCAGTTGTACCAATTGCTAATCATTGATATACTTGTCTCTTGGCCCGTTAATACATCTTTAACTTCGTTCTCATCCTGAGATATATCTGCAGAGACGTGCCGATTTGATGTCACATTATCCACTCCTGTTGACTAGGGAACAAAAATGACTTCAGAGTTAAATGCACTGATATTGCACTTGACCCTTCTTCCATCTTGTGAACACATCGCTTTGCTCTTAGCCTATCCATCAATGCTTGAAAAGACACGAGCTGTAAACGCTGAGATGTCATTTCAATTCCCAGTTTATTAAAAGCACACAGCCATCCTTTTGTATACGTAGATAAAAGGATTTTACTTCAAACGAGGTAAACATACAATCTTCTTCCCCCCTGGAAGGATCTCGTGTGAGCATTTTAAGCATTAATAGCATAGAATGTACACACATCTGTTATGCTAGTCAACATCTTATCATGCATATCTTCTTTGGCCGAAACCAAAAAGGTGCTCTGTCCTGAAAGGCAGTGTTCAAGTTAAACCGCACTTTAAGACTCATTTGAATTCCTAGGCAGTGTTGGATTGGTCTGTGGCTGTGTGCTAATTACCCATGGACTAAGGACAAAGTGAGAACGATAGTGTGTATGGGTGTGTGTGTGTGGCAGCGCTGGTGGTACCGAAGTGAAAGACAAAGTTGTTGCGTCTCCTTTACAGTAACAGACTTCTGTTCGATCTTGTGGTAATTGGCCAGAGTTTAGAAGGTGAAGACAGAGTCAAACAAAATCAGGCAAACTTGTCCTCAGGTAATTATGCAGAGCTTATCGATATCCAATAACCAATTCATATGGGCCCTGGGACTTTTCTTTTTAAACTATGACTCAAGTTCATTGTGCCACTGCTTGAGTTCTCCAGCTATTAATCTGCTGCACCAATACTGTGAATGTTTCATTGACTTCAAATTTGATTTAAAGTGGAAAATGTTTTTTTTTTCTTACATTTTGAGCATTAAGGTGAAACTGTGAAACTTTTACTGACGATACTAAGGCTAGTGGAGCGATGAGTGTGTTGGACTACCACATAAATGGGACCTCTGTCAACCTGTCTTCACTCCCAACGCGTCAAATACTGAGGCTTGGTCAGTGGCCATTGGTTTGATGTTACGCACCAGGCTTTCAACTAACTCCAAAGTAAACCAATCCATTATTAGACTCTCAGAGCAACTGACGTAGTATGAAGAGCAAAGAGGACCACATTGGGAAGAGGTCTGGGTGAATGGTTGGGTTCAGGTTTTCATCCAGAAGATGGCTGTTTGTGTCCTGCATGAAACCGAGCCAACCTAGACTTATTTCAAATTTGATTGTATTGTAACTTACGTTCTTCACTGGCACCATGTACAAAAGTTACAAATGTAATTATTTTACCTAACAAACCCAAACCATTAAATCTTCTAAAAGCTAGCCTGGTGATTTTGTTGTCTGAACCTAACCATGTAAACCCGAAAACTAAGTAGACCTACATTGGAAGTTTATTTCAAAAAGAAAGCCGTATGTATTTGGCAAGCAGAAACTGTATGTTTTCTGTGAACACAGCTTATTTAAAAAAACACTGTGTGCATCTAACAAACGGAAACCGACACCCCGTCCCTGAGACTTTAATAAACAGAAGGAGTTGAGAGAATGCCTGCTTCAGCATGGATGCCAAATCGATGGCAACCAGTCAGCCCAAATAAACACAGCAAGGAGTATTCATTATGTACTTGAATGATTAATAACGGTTTTCAGGATCTCTTATCTTGTCTCTGCGAAACGTTGTCTGAAAGTGAGATGTGGATTTGCTGTTTTCGCAGGTGAACCGTTGGGTGGCAGAGCTGCTGCTGGCATTCCTAGAGGGTACTGGAGCTTCTCCTGGGTGGCCGAGGATGACCTGAGCTTTCCCAACGACTCCGTGCCCATGTCAGGTGAGTCGGGATGTTGTCAGCTCTCCTCAGGCAGATGGACAGGCTAAGGTGCTTCTGTGCTCCGAATATCCTTTGCCCCCAATTGGCCATGACATCTGGCATCAGCTCTCTATCAGTTCACATAAACGTCTCTGTCCAGCCTGCCCTCTACCATCCGCACTGACGCCATCACAAAACTGGGCTTCTGTTGATCAGCCTTTGTGTGACCCACTCAAGGAAACAGGAAAATGCAACATCCAGTACAAAAACATCTGGAACCTGCCAGTGCTGATAGAATTACTCAAAAAGAATAACTGTGAGGAGCCGGGCTGGTTACAATGGTGAAAGTATAAAAATGTATCAGATAAAACACAAGTATAAGCATAGAAATACAACATTTCCTTTCATTTTTACACTTCTCTGCACAAATCTACCAACAAAAACCTCCTCTTTAATTAAATGAAATATTTGTAGAAAATGTATACTGTATGACAAATGTGCCATCAAATCATCCAGTAGATAATGCTAGAGGAGAAACCCAGTTGAAACAAAGTTAAGCAGAGTACTCCATTTTGATTAATTAAGATATCCAATGTGCTTTTCCGAAAAAGAAAGTTAAAAAAAAATTGTAAGAAGCAATTAAAAATTGTGGAAAAGTTTGCCCAAAATATTAATAACAGTAATTCCAAATCAAGAAAGTTTACTTTTCAAATAATCCAGCCATTAAGAACCAATTTCTCAAGTGATAACTCTTTTTTTTAAAGCTGGAGAATCATCCCGTCCGCTGAAGCATAAGAACCACAAGAACAGATACAGCATATTTAATCAACTTTCAAAGTTGGACTAAAGTGAGAGAGAGAGAGGAAGAGCTAAAACATGAATCTTCTATAACTAAGGTGTGAACTGCAGCCAGCTTCCTATTCAAAGGATATCATCACAGATTCACTGTAAAATTACAACATTCGGGGTTTCTTGCCTTTTTAATACGATCCTAATTTATAGAATCCTTGAGGGCATCGGAGAAAAGTCTCTCTGATGCCCATCACTGTTAACAGAATACTAAGTCTAAACGCCACATTTATGCTAAGAACAGACGTACTCATGTGGATGATGCGATTGTATTGGATGTTCCCTCACAGCTCACTAATCTCAATTGACTGTCAGCCGCTGGTGCGGCGATATGTCACAGATACGATCACAAACACTTTACTGCAGCTGTAAAGCCTTTTGCTGAGCTTGTAAAAATATATACATTGTAATAGTTGATGAAGAAATGGAGCTGCACCTTCCTGCATTAGATCGTTTTTAACGATGAAAAAAGTGATCCTGCTAATCCTGAGGTTGTCATGCACTCACAACGATCGCTTTCTCTGGTACCGGCTTTATTGAGCCATATTTTGCAAACGGGATTCAAGCATGTCAAACATCATCATCATACATGCGAAAACAAGTGTGACTGGCGAACTAGCATTGTTTTTGCACATTTACTACCATTGAATTTGATGGATTTATTGTTTATGTACCGCAAATTGTTCTAACTAGCGAGCTAGCGCACGCCATGCCGCTAAGAGTCTAATTCAGCTGTCGGAGAGCTTTCTGCAGTCTTGTCGTCTCCGAGCTGCGGGTATTGACTGATGGTTTGTTTAGACCCAGCCCTGCCGCTGGCCACCAGCACGCTGTTTGGCTGATTTGCTGTCAGAAGTGTAGCATGAAAGCTTGGTGGAACTGGTAAGCTAGCTGGCTAACTAGCCAGCCACTAAAGGAAACATTTTTGCTTCATCCACACACTTTTGTCACAGCGTAGAAAAGCACATCAGTCGAGGCAACTGCATAATCAATAAGCGACAACATGTCCACCACATGACTTCTGTTTAAAATTTCTGGACTGGATTTTTGCCTCTCAGAACGGACCAGAAAATGGAAAACAAGGTGTGAACCCGCCTGTAGAATACCATTTCCTACCATATACAGCTCTTTGTAGAGTGGTTGACAGCACAATCCAGTAATGGCTAGAGCTGGCACAGCTCTGTTAAAATTGGTATTGGAAGAAAACAAGTCTGAGTGGTAAGATAAGTGATCTGAAGACCGGAGCCCAATATTCCCACCCCCCTGCTGGGTGTGAGCATCAGAGCAAGTGAGCCCAGGGGCGCATGCGTGTATCCGTGTCATGTCAGGTTCTCAAAGCCAATTCCTATCACTCGCTAGCGACAGCTCCGGCTTGTTATTTTTCTTTTGCCCCTTTCCAAACTCTTGGAGGGTCGGAGGTCTTCCTGTAAGTGATGATTCGATGTCCCACCATCGAACTGCCACACAAACTGTTTTTGAAACACATCCTTGACTGTGGAACACTGGGACCTTCCTCCATCTGCCTGTGGCTGTGAAAGCCTGCAGTGGACCTCACTGTAATTGGTGTCAGTTAGTCACCGGATCACCCTGCCGTCTCTAAATCAATCCGTCAATCCGTCAAGCACACAACCGACTGCATTTGCTATGATTCCACATATGACAGCTCTGACCTCTCATCTCTTGCATCTTAGCTAACCAGAAACGGAAAAACATTTTTTCTATTTCTGTATGGTGATTAGTGGACCGAACGTGATGTGGCTGGAGCAGGCAGGATCACATCTGGGCAGTAAAAGCCAGATGACTCCAAATGAATGATGGCACAGTTCAGAGAAACAAATTAAATCATCATTTCCACAAATGTGTGCTGTTTGCCAAATTGTTGATTGAACAAACAAGTACAAATGTAACATGTTTTACTTGCTCAATATTTCACATTTTCTATTACATTGTATTGTGTATATATATATATATATATATATATATAAAAGCAGAGACACTA